TCCCATCGATGTTTCTAACTATCCCTCTCCCTCTCTGTAAAAAAATCAATAAAATATATTTTTTAAAAGATATTTTACTAAGTATAGAATTCTAAGTTGACAAGTTTTTTCTTTCAGTGCTTTAAAGATGTTGCTCCACTGTCTTTTGATATTTCAATTTTATATCCTGCAACCTTTATATGCTGCAACAGTTTCTGATGAGAAATCTGCACTCGTTCTTATTTTATTCTCCTGTACATATTATGTCTTGTCTTTTCTCTGATGGCTTTTAAGATTTTTCTTTTTGTTATTCATTTTATGTAATTTTATTATGATGTGCCTTATGTGTAGCTTTATATGTTTCTTTTGCCTGTTATTTATTTAAATTCTTGGAACTGTGGCTTTCTAGTTTTAATCAAATTTGAAAAACTTTGGCCATTATTTTTAAAAATAAGCTTTCTCCCTTATACCCTATTTCCAGATTCCAATTACACTGATATTAGATTGCTGAAAGTTATCTCACAGATAACATTTCCACCTCCCTACCTTGCTTGGGACCAAAATAAAATTTTCTAGTTCTAATTGGGCCTCTAGGTTACCAAGATGTATAATCTACCTTAACAGGTTCCATATTACCTCATCATTTACAGCTCAAATTTTCAGTTTCCTCCTTATTTCTAGTACCTAGAAGTTTCTCTTTGTTTCTTTCTCACATACTGAGTAATGCTTTTTAAATAATTTTGCTGTGTTTTATCTACTCTTTCTATTTCTGTTGAAAGAATTTCAGGTTATCTTGATCTATATCTCTTTAGGGATATATACCAGGGCCATTTTTCTGTTTACAAGGGCAAAGAGCCCTTAATAAATAATGTATATTCTAACCTAGGTATTCAGAAGAACATATAAATGCCATATGTATATATGTATGTGTATATTTGTGTATGCATTTGGTAAGAATTTGAAACAAGCCTAACCACCATAGCCTACTTCAATTTGATAATTCAGAACCTTCGCATTAATCTTTTAGGAATTAACTGATGATTACTAATTTTATTTTTCTTATGATTACTAATTTTAAACACTACTGAGGAGTAACAAGTTACACCTAAATTTCATTTCTGGTTAAGTTCCTCATTTAGGAATCATTTGAAAACTTACAAAATGTCACTTTTTTTTAATGAGTTGTAGTAAAATCTGATTCAGTGGCTACTTTTTCAGAGCTACAGAACTCTACTGAACCACGTAGTGTGGCACCATGGGGAGAGAGAAAAAACATAGGCTTT